GCAGACTATTTTTCCTGCTGGATTGCTTGCGATTAAAGCCCGTATCAGACTACGGATTGGGATTGGGATTAGATTGAAATTTAACCAATCACAGTAAAGTTTACTAATCTCAAGTTTAGTAACTTTTACTCTGATTGGTCAAATTTCAATCTAATCCCAATCTCAATCCGTAGTCTGATACGGGCTTCAGGCTTGTTTTCTATTGCTGCACTGGTGAACTAGTGCAGTAAGCTAGAATGAGAAAAATATACTTGTCCTACTCTAACCATAGACATATAAAAGATAGACTGCTTATGAGGCAGTGGAACCCTAGGTGGGGGACGCAAAATAGCGTCTGGTCTGTTCGTTATCGCTGCATTACTGCACTAGTGTAGTTAGTTAATTGCACTAGTGCAGTAACAGAAAACAAGCCTTTAGTAAATTAGGGTGCTTTCACATGGAGCGTAAGTTGCGTAGCGTAACCTGCGTATCGCCAATCACAGGACTAGTTCAACGGAATTATTGAAACGGTTCTATCAGCATGATCCTGTGATTGGTGATACGCAGATTACGTTTACGCAAATTACGCTCCATGTGAATCCAGCCTAAGACCGTGCTCCCGATTCTACCAGAGCGCGCTGCAAACACAAATCATACACGTAGGCGCAATAGTGCCCATCACTGTTCTCTCCGGGTGACGTAGTACGTCGGAGGAAGAAGTCGGAGTCAATGCAGATTTTAGACGGAGTTCGACGCGGCGCCGAGGTGCATCCCGGGGTGACGTAATCCTGTTCGACGTCGCTCTCAAATTGCAAGGCACTCATCGTCGCGCGACGGCGCGACAACAGGCATTCGTGTGATCCAACGGCACATCGGCGCGTCGCGCATATGACTCGCCGTAACAGGATATCGCTCGGCGACTTCCGGCTCGTGTGGGCCCCCAGCGGTAAGTCTCACACTTACGTAGTCAGGTGAGGATCGTTCGGACGATTTGTCTTTTGTCAGATATCGACTGCTGCGTCGGCCGAGACGAGAAATATAGAGACGGGCGCGCGCATCCGGCAACGGCGGCGGATTCTAGCCGACGTTTGATTGCAGATCGCAAGTAAACTGCGGGAGCTTGCGCGGATGCGGCGGTACGCGTTAGAGCTCGACGGACGCAACGGGAGGAAGCGCAGCGGGTTGCAGCCAGGCTACGCATTGTCATTCTCATAGGCAATATTCAGTTTCTTACCATCACCAGAATCACCACGACATTTATTTTCCGTAAAAGGGATTTAATTTTAATCGACTGTGAGTGGCTATTCCTATTCTCTGGCAAGAATCTTGTAGAACGAGCTTAGCAAAAAAAAAAGAAAGAAAAAAAACCATTATATCCGTGGAAAGTACTGGAATCATTGTGTGTATGCACACATACACATATATGTATACATATATTTATAACAGGAATATTCGCAGTTCGATCAACGTACAATTCCCATCGGGCTACGGGGATTGCGCGAGGAATGTCAGACATTCCGCGTAATCGCAACGTAGACCGACGTGGGCGTGAACGGCGATACAAGCGCCGTCGTCTCAAGGTGAATCGTGTCGGAACTGTGACGGGTCTCGCGTGGGTTAAGTAAGCGGATACGTGTGAGGTATATCTCTGCGAGTGTCATTGCTCTTGCACCGTCGTACCGTCGTCGCGAGAGAGAGAACCAAGTTTTCGTGTGCGAGCTCTCGGAGGAGACGAGGGCGCGGGAGGACCAAAAAAAAGTGCCGATACTAGTCTAAATATGAACCCGAGTGAGCGCCTAACGTCTCTCCCTCTGGGTGTGTTACGTAAATAGAACAGCGCGGAAGAAGGGACGTGTCACACAATGGCGATGACGCGAGCTCCGCTGGGCGGCGGGCCGGTATTGGCCGACGGTGAGAGGCGTCCCCCGTGTTTATTCGCTGACCGCGACGGGAAGGGGGATATGCGCCTCGGCGGCTGCGCATTGGGCAGTCCGGGCCTAGTCTTGTGAGAATTACCGTTGCATTAGGCGCACCCCGTATCTTACTTGCGTATCCGAGCATTTTTTCACGAACGGCCGGCTGCGGGTTTCGCTTCGCAACCAACGTAGCTATTCTAGAGCGATAGGGAATGCCCATGGTAATTGCGCAATCGTAACGAACGTAGGCAAGGCGCGAGAATCCCGTCGGCGAGCTCGACCGACCGACCGACCGACAGTTCGGTAATGTCCGACGTTCCCTCGTCGGGACGTCGATTCTCGTCGCGCGCGGTCGTATCTCTTTTAGACTAAGCTTCTCGCTCGTGAGACTTGGACCCCCGCGGGGGGTTTCGCGACGAATTTGAGACGAGGGGGGGGGGAGGGATTCTGGAAGATTCCGCGGACGTTTTGTCGCGACCTCGCGAGAACGCGCATTCGGCAATATGGCGTGATGTGCGCGTCGCTCGCCTCCCGTCCTTCGAGCCGTACGACGCAATTATCAAAGTATTTTACGTTTCGTTGCAGACTCGCGCGCGGACGAGCTCGCACCCGAGCCCCGAGCCACGTCCGGAGTGATGGAAATACGCTAAGACGTCCTGAGTATCAGCAAAATGGTGAGTGGCATCCGATTTTTTCTCCCCCGGTCGTACGCGAACGGCGTGGCCTTCGAGAGCACGCAGTTCGAGGGAGAGGGCGCCACACGGCGGCCTCTGCCGGAAAGATCAATAACCTTTGCCCCCCTCGACCCCGTATTCCACTTTCTGCCGTTATGAAACTCGGTCCTTCTCCCTGTGCGGTTGCTAACGCGCGAGATTATTCAATTTGCCGTTGTTGCACCCAGTGGACGGAACATTGAACAGGTTTTTGCGTTTGAATAAATAAACGAGATTTTTTTATTATGTCTGAGACTACGCGACAAAAAGATTGGTTTGATTCATAAGACGATTGCTTTTATATTTAATAATGGGTTAAAAAAGTATGGAGATTCTGAAATAGACTGAGGAAAATTCGGAAAATATTTAAATTGACTACGGAATATATTTATACTTAAAAAGTATCAAAATAATCATTTTACTGAAAAGATATTCCTTATTGTTTGCCATTTTAAAAGTATACAAATAATTAACCCGTAAATTTTTTCTGTTGAAAAATTTGTATTGTACCGAAATTTATATGTAAAAAATGTGAAAATAATTGATCAGTTTTATTTACTAAAATTAATAAATTGATCTTCGTTATCTGCGTTTAAATTGTATTCAAAAGGTTTAACAATAATTTTGTTCGTTGAAAAATATTCCTTGTTTTCTTAATGCCGTCAGTGCACGAATGAGACAATTTTCTGAAATTTTTCTTAGTTTTTATACTTGGACATTCGAGTGTTAGAAAAAAAACCTGCTGTAACGTGCAAATCTAAACACGAAGATATTTAATTGACGGCACTAATATCGATACTATACTACTGATTTACTAAAATCTATTTGTAATCAATTTATTTTCTCTTTCTACTAATATCTTTCTGAATAGATATACATTAATGTAATTATATCGAATACATAGGGTGCATCCAGAAGCTCACTGGGCTCGCTGGACTCGCTGAGCTCTTGTATCCGATTGGCACATTCTTCTAAATTAAAAAAAAAACATCAATCGGATACAAGAGCTCACTGAGCTGTCGTGCTTCTGAATGCACCCCTAGTTTTACCGTAGTGCATAAGTTATGTCGACTGAACTCTTCCGCAAGATCGTATCTCGATTTTACGCAATTTTCAGTTTTTGTATTTAAACGCTCATTCTGGTCCAGAATGAGTATTTAAGCACAAAAATCGGAAATTGCGTAAAATCGAAGTACGACCTTGCGAAAGAGATCAGTCGATATACAATATAATATGTCTGTTAACTTGGAAAAATCTGGAATTTTTGTGTTGGAAAACATTAGGGATTTTTTTTTCCAGAAAATCTATGTAGAAAAGGTATACTTTTCTTTTGAGAATCTAGCAAATGGCTAACCACATATTGGCCAATTAGTTAGATTGATTACATATTTTTGTTGATTTCAAACGCAGGGATTCAGTTCGAAGTATATTTTCCCAATATACGTTTCCTTTTTGCTTCAGCAAGTACCGAATGTGTAATCTCCACATCGTTATGTTCGTTAGAAAGAAACGGGAAATTTTTACGTAATTTTATGTACTCCTCTGTCTACAATATTTCCACTTCTTTTTTAAATATTATTTTTAAAATTTCATGTTTGTAAAAGCTTTAATGCTTTTTGGGATGCTTTGCAAGAAGCGAATCCGTTTTCTTTACAATTTATAATATCCACAAAATGTTAAAGACTGACTAAATTGACGTAAACTGACCGTCTTATGTGGCGTCTACAATAAGATCTTTAAGACATAAGATTTAAGAAACGTGACCTACCGCAATCGAGTGTGAGGAAAATAATTGATTGGTACTCGCTGACACATTCGGTACTTACTGCTGAAGCAAAAGGGAAACGTATTAAGAAAATATACTTTGAACTGAATCCCTGCGTTTGAAATCAACAAAAATATGCCATTTTCTTAAATCTTATGTCTTAAAGATCTCATTGTAAACGTCGCATTAGAGAAGTTCGAATAACTGCCAAAATTCGAATGGGTAGCTTGTAATATAATATTAATTTTATAATTTATTATTTTAATTTTTCATATAACTGCAATAATTACATTTGATTTTTATTTAAAACTGCATATTTTCATCATTCATTTTTTATATATGCGGATGATAACAAAGGTTTTGCAACAATATATATATTGCATTACAAATATACTTTCTCATTTGTACAATAATAAATTATTAATTTATGAGTATTCAGATATTTATTATTAAATTGTCGAAATAAGTAAAAATGTCCACAGTCTTCAATTATCCTCGATTCTAAATAAAAAATTTATAGATAAGTCTACGAGTGAGAAATACAAATTTACCTTCATTTGAAAATTTGAAAACCATGTTATGGCTGAGAATTTTGTAAATTTTTCTCGAAAGTTTCAATAGATACCTTATATATTTTCCATTAATAATTTTCTATTAACAGCTTTCAATTTCCTTTGAAATTGCTTTGAACTTTGAGATTGTAAGCATTTTGTAGCCTTATATGATGAATGTATCAATAATGTCTTTCTTCTTAAATTGTATTTTCAGCCACGTATAGATCCTCTATCGTTGCTCAAATGCCTTAGCGTTTTATTGGGGCCAACAGGAGGTATTAAGAGCAAAGAAGAAGTTCACCGATTAGCTAATTTAATGACAAAATTTTCTAAGAAGCTTGTTTCAAAATGCATTTATATACAAATATTGAAAACGACTAATACGGACTTGCTTAGTCAGTAAGTACTTAAATGCAATCCTATATTAGAATATTAACACCAACTTAACTTTATACACTTCATTCCATTCGTTTTTTGCTATTGATTAAGAGACGACACTAATTGAGATAATTAACATAAAAGATTTCTTTGAATTCCTTATTTTAAACACTTTATATCACCTAATATCTAGCGACTGGCTCTCGTTATCTTATATCTAATTTTTTTTCTAACATAAAAGAAATTTCTTATTTGGCATGTTGAGATACACAAGTATATGTAATTTCTATGTTTGTGTAGAAACAAAAATGTAAACATGCAAGAAAAAATTATAAGAGGCTCAGAACCATTAGGCGGTGCTTATCATGTGCCGTTTTTACTGATACGAGCCTTACATCTCAGTTTCCAAAGCCTATCGGGCTGCCTTCAGAAACATCACCCGAGTGTATCATATTATCCTTGTTTAACATACAACGTGAGCAATGAGGAGAAAGACTGATACCCTGGGCGGTGTTTCTGAACGCAGCCTTAGAATACTTAAAAATTTGTTTCGTTACATTACAATTTGTATTAGATTGTCGAGTCTTTCTGTAAAGGAGCAATGGTTCATAAAAAAAAAGACTTAGAGTCTTTTGTTGCGTATCCCGTTGTAACAAACATCTCCTGTATTTTTATGTGCTTTCACCTTTAGAAAATACAGAAGCCGTAGCGGAAGCTGTAACGCATGCGCTTCGGTATCTGCATGAATGCAGATGCCACGGTGCATGCGCTATGGTTTCTGGGTGCGTTCCGCATAATGAGCACGATGCCATCATTCATCCTTCTTTAACATTTGGTGAACAACAAGGACGAATGATGGTGTGCATCACGCGTGAAACGGAACCTTCTGCCTACGGCTCTGTACTTTTATGCGCTTCTACCTTAAGAGGCTCTCAGCAATCGTACAATCATCTTTCGTTATTCATACGAATTATTATTTTTAATATTTGGAATTAATCCTAATCTGTCTTTTTTTTTTACGACACTGCACTTGTAAACGATATAGTAAAATTAGAATTTGAAACGAAGTATATAATTTGAAGTGACACATTATCTATACAACGCTACAAGCTCAATACGTTATTTTATGTTTTACCATTTCTCTTTGCAGATTTATGAGCGCCGGAGGATGGAACCTCATACACACGTGGCTCACCGATGGCATTCTTGCCAAGAACTGGGCCCTCATTCAGGAACTTCTCGAGCTCCTGCTGCTCTGTCCAGTGGACATCGAGCGGTTGAAGAGCAACAATTGTCCAAAGCTGATCAAAGGCTTGTCGAAGGAAGGTAGTCACCAGGGTGTTCGAACGCTGGCCAGTCGGCTGGTGGAGCAGTGGCTGAAAATCGTAAAGGGAGAGGCGGCGCCGAATTCGGTACCGGCTCAAATCATGACAGTCCCGGTGCAGTCCCCTGTTACGGGCCAAACCGCGACCGTACCTTCGTCCCAGCAGCAACAACAGCTGCAGCAGTCCGCGAACACTCAGCAGGTCGTGGACGCCATCGAAAATGCGACCGTTCACATACAGGACCTTAATCTCGCGCAACAATCTACCGCGAGTACAAACCATCAAGATCAGGAGAAGCAGCAGCAATTGCAGGAGAGGCTACAGCCGCAAACGGTGCAAGTCGTCGGCAAGGCCCAGCAAGCGCAGGCGCAACAACAGCAAGCCACGCAGCAACAATGTAAAAAGCAATCCTTCGTTGTCGTATCGACGTCCTCATCACTGCCTGTTTACAAGATCACCATTCGCGATGGCAATCAGGTCCTCGCGAAAGTAGAGACCGACGCCGCGAATATAAGTAACATCCTGAACCCAGCTGGCACGAGTACGGACAGCGGATACGACCTGACTGCTGCGCAGGAGGCGGTGCCAGAGGTGGAGGAGCTGGACGAGGCGGATGAAAATGACGGCGCGGTTAGTGGTCGAGACGATTCAGTAGATGTTGTACAATCGGACGATTCGGCACACGTTCCTAGTGAAGTGAAACAGACTGCGGTTAGTTCTAAAGATAATCAGGATACTGAAGGTGTTAAAAACAAAGACGTTAAAGACTCTAAGGACGTTGTCAGTAGTGATAGTAAATCTAGTGACAAGGAAAATAGGGACTCTCATAAAAAGGATGACAAAAAGTCCAGTTCCGAGAAGAAAAGTAGCGGCCATCATCACGGCTCATCTTTGTCTTCATCACCGTCGTCGTCGACGTCGTCGTCTAAGAGCTCTAAGCACACGGGTACCAGTGCACATCGTAGTAGCTCTACATCCCATAGATCTAGTAGTCACCGTTCTAGTAGTAGTAGTTCTAAAAACTCCAGCTCTAGCAAAGATAGGTCTTCCAAGGATAAGGATAAGCATCACTCCAGTTCGTCTAGCAAACACAGCTCAAATAAGAGTAAATCCGAGCGAGACAAGGAACGGGAGAAGGAGAAGGAGAAGCAGAAGAAGGATCAGGCGGAGAAGGATAAGGCGACTCTGGAGAAGGTGCAGGGTCAAGCGCTGAGCTCCAAGGTGGGCAAAATACCGAAGAAGCGTGCGGAGGACGAAAAGCCGAGCGACGCGAATGGAAGGAAGTCCTCGACCGAGTCGCGCGACAACTCGAAGGAGAACAAGGAGAAGTCGGACTCGAAGAAGGACGCCGCTGCGACCAAGCCCGTTACCGAAAAGAAGAATATATCCATTTCCATTGAGAACAGAAAGAACAGCCAGGACTCGGGAACGCGACCGAAGACGGTCAAGATGTTTAACTCGAAATTCAGGTCCACGGGCCTGGAGGAAGAGGTGAAACCGCCGCCACCCAGATCGAAGAAGGCGGCTCCCGCTGCCGATAAGAAGGTTCTACCGCCAAAATTGCCCTTGAAGAGGCCGTCGCCGTTGCGGGACGTTCCGTTGGTGGAGAAACGTGCGAAGCTATCGCTGGACTCGCCGACAACCCCACCGAGCGAGGAGAAGAAGGGAGGGATTAAACTGATTCCGCCAAAACCTAAACGTAAGTATACTGGTATCCTATTACAAATTATATATCAAATTTCTTTATTAATACTTGAACTCTATCATCATTTCCTTTTAAAATATCAATACTTTTATCTTAATCTACATGTAAATATATCGCTAATGTCCTCAGACAAAGCAGTCTATGGAGTTTTTCATTATTTACAAGTTACTGTACATATCATGTAAGATTAACTTAAGTTCCATTCGATATTAATATCGAAAATATAAAAATTTTCAAGTATTTTTATATATTGAATACAATTTTAAGAAACCAGAAAATTTAGAAGAGAAAAAACAAAAAGTTTGCAAAACTAGCGAACGTCTTTAGCAAGAAAGAATATAGGATTTAACATATATTATAATTGATTAAAAAGGGAATCTAAATTTGTTTCAACATTGTCATATTATAAATCTTGTACTTTACAGACTAGTAACTCACTAATATATTTTTACATATTTCATATGTTTCATTTTCACATATTTCGCGTGTTCCGACAAATTTTGTAGATAAAAATTTTTTCTTTATTTTTCAACTGTACGCATACACTTCATTTCTTTCACTTGTATCGAGATATCTTTTCAGTAACATCGACGCGATAGTTAAATATATATAAATTGTATAAATATATAAAATATAATTGTACTACGCAGTATTTCGTAATACTCTATTCAGAAACGTTATTTTGTTACTCTTTCTAGCAGACGTGTAATATCATTACCTATTCCCTTTCGACGAGACACAACGTTTCTCTGTATTATACGGGATTCAAGTTCTATTTCGGTAGAATGATAGTAAATCAATAATGACTGCTTAAAGCTTTGTACATTGGCATGCTGCATTATATATGACTTACTAACTCTGTAATATTGAGTTTGCAGGTGGCTGCCTCCAGCAAATGTACGACAAGATGCCGTATTTAACGCGATATTTTTATATGTCGCGAACATTTAATCTGACACTTTGACATACCGTGAACATTTAGCACAATACTTTTTTTTACATATCGGTGATCATTATTGACAGCTGAACTCTGTTGACTCTTGGTGTTACATCGAACGTCTATGTGCCTTTCAACATATTTTGCCTGTGAACATGGTTTGCGTTAATTATGCCTTTAACTTATCGTTTTTTCCAGGCACACATAGTTGCGTCTTATCGATATTTCTTAATAGTACATCCTCTACTTTCCCAAAAAAATTATTAGCGTCTCGTAGAAGATATAATAAGCTGTAGCGATTTACCCATGACGCTGCATCAAGATTTAAGAGCTCGATCTCGTGTGAGTCACATCAACGAGAATTAACATCTCGTTAGAAGAGCGAAGCCATTAGGATTGACACTCTACTACGACTCTACGAACTTTTTCGTATATTAAGAAATCTACGTCTCAGCAGGTAATCCTTGATAAGCTATTCATTACAACGCGATCTCGTCGACATTCGCGCCAACTCTTGAAAGTATCTATGCGTCCAATTGCTTCCAAGTAAAGCAGCTTCTCCGTTAAGAGCATTTAGAGAAACGTAAAAGACTAAACAGTGTTCTGTCGATATTTGCGGACGACCGGGCGTGTTTTAATCTCCGAGATAAGTGACGCAACGGTACGAAGCCATCACGCAGGAATAGCTCTAGTCGTTCACTAGGTAAGGCAACAAAATCTCTATCACATCTTTTCCTGTACATGTATATCCTATTTAAACATTTCAATAAATTTATCAGAAATCTGGAATATTTAACACTTGAATATCTATCTTGAACATTTACTACTTTGTTACAACGAGGAACGGCCGCTGTTAAATGCAGAGATTCAAGGCCCAATCATTAATCAGTCGTATCGCGAGGCCCATCCAGATTTCCATCCTCTCGTTGATTCTGAGGCGCGCGTAATGTAACGTAAAACGTCGCTAGAAATTTTCAAGCTGATTCGGCACTTTGAGAAAAAAAGAAATTTGCTTCTCTCGAATTAGATTATTGCGCGATCGAATCCAAGTTCTTGGTCTTTGTTTTCTTTTTTGCCATTTATACGAAGACAGCTCCGTTAATTGTACATAAGTTTGTTGCCAACGAGGTATCTTGCTCGAAGCGTGTATCGACGGGTAATAATGGAGTTATCGTAACGCTTTTCGTACGGCGGAAAACGAAACGCTTGCGAGTATATCAGAGAGAATTGAAATTTGCGTGGGGCAAGTGATTTCATCGCCTTCAATAGATAACGCGAGTCGAGAGAAAGTGAGGGAGAGAACGAAAGCGTGCGAGGAAGAACGGCTGAGAGTGATTGAGAAAAAGGAGGGAGAGGCTGTCACGGAGAGAATATCGTGAGGCAACGTTGAATAATGCGGTGGACCAAGGATTAAACGTAGCACTGAAGGTGCGCGAATTTCCGAAGCTGCATATTCGACATGTTCGAGCAAGAAGGCCTCTCGGACCGGCGGGCCCTCCTTTGCACCGACTCGTCGGGATGGCGAAGAGGGTTTTCTTCGCCGATGTTCGCATATTCAAACGGAAAGAAAGAGAGGATGTTGAGAGAGAGAGAGAGAGAAAGAGAGAGAGAGAGAAAAAGAAAGAAACGAGACGGACGTGCGCTCCAAAATTTGCAGCTCAAGCGTGTCCGAGATTCTCTTTTGCATGTTTCGACTTTGGCAGAGAAACGTTACAAACGAATTATTTGCATAATCCCACGAGGGCCTGTCAAGTGTTTACCGATCGCGTACCTGTCCAAATTTGCAACGCGTTTAAATTTGCTTTTGCGGACGAACGCGCGGTGGCACGTGGACGACAAAAGAAACCGTTTGCAGCGCGACTCGCGCGTTCCTCCTCGGTTGATTAATCGATTAACTCGCGTTCGCGCTCGAGCGCAGATTTTGGTGGCGGCGATATTCGCGCGCGCGCGCGCGCGCGAGTCTCTGAAATCGCGCGACATCCCGGGGGAGGGTGTCTCGTCCGCACCGGGGAGAACCGGGGTGCGCGACGAGCGGACCGACCCGCTCCCGATTTTTTTTTCCCCTCCCTCGAGTCCATTTCGAGACGACCGGATCCCGCGGGGCCGTAAGGGTCCGGTGTCGCGCGGCGCGCGACACCGGGGGCGAGTTCGAACGGAGCCGCGCGTTCCGCGGAGGTGTGTATCGCCAGCGGCCGATGTTTTTGCGATCGTCCTCACGCCGACGCACGTGGCCCGTTGTCCGTGGGTGTCGCGCCACGGCCGGCGTGCACCGCGCTACGGGGACCCACACCTACTAACCGTCCGGCGCACGTCGGTCCGCGCAACGAGCGCGCGCGGTCGCCGGACTTGGTGTGGCCTCGTCGCGCGCGGCCGCCGATCTTCGCCGCGCCGTGAGGCCCCGCGTGCAGACACGCGCGTGTCCGGTTCCGCGCGTCAAATCCTCGGCTCGTTAATGCGCGATTCACGGCTGCTTACACGCTGGTTGTTGTGCGGCCGGAAATCGTGTACCGAGGGAGCACGTGTCTCGGCTACGCACGTGTTTTATTTCTTTTTTCCTCACGCGCGTGTTTGCACGCGGAGGCATACACTTTTACGGCATATTTACGCACGCACGTGGGGATAACTTGCTAAATTCTAATTGAATAATGCGTAAGAGCGTGCCGCGGTCGTTATGTATTTACAATTGGCCGTCTTTATCCCCTGCGCGCGTGAAAACGTTCGGCGGACGACGCTGTAGATCTTTGGGCTCGCTTAAATAACAGCCTCGTTTTGCGACAGATACAAATTAATATATTCGGAGGGTACACTCCCGTAGTCGTATACGTTCTCAAGTCGAAGTACTCTTATTGTTTCTTCTCTCCTTGGTTGTGTAAAATGTGTGTAAATTGTAAATTGTTAAAATAAAGTTTAAAATTAAATGGCTGACGATGATGAACAAAGATGATGATGACAAAGTATACAGTTCTATTAAATATACACACATGTGCAAGTACAACGGGGCAGTGCCTCGAATAAGACAGATACAGGGCTCTTGCTGCAATTAGCGGGCGTCAATTTAAATTAATATACCGAATTATGAATTTAACGAGTCTGGTGCTGCGCCTGTTGCGCTTCTAAATTGATCTCTTTCGTGATATGCTATAAACGCCCGCTAGATAAAATATTGTGAAGAGAGTAACACTCGCTCTAACTTGGCAACGCAATTGATTGTTAAATCTGCACAGATAATATCGGTTCGCGTATGTATATTGCAAGATGATTTTTACGGCATTTGGCACTTGGTAAATTTATAGTTTTGATACGTTGCCACTGTGAAACCGTGTGATACACATATGATATAAGACGAGAGTCAAGTACTTCTGTATATTTTCACGTCAGTTTTATTGTAATGATGTATATCTAACGTGTAGATGTACATAGGTTTTTCTTAGACGGAGAGTCTAGAATTGTTTATACTTTGCTTATCTGCATACAAATGTGTATGCGTGTGCGAGAGCCGTAACTTCAATCCTGCTTCCATACTAACGAGATCGATTTACATCGAACGAATTTGAATTCTTGCAAAATGGTTGATGACTACCTGCCGCATTGTCGTGGAAATTTTCGACAAATGTGACGCGATGCGAAGACATTTTAAAGCTCAAGAGCAGTTTCGCACGACTTTTCCCAAGTTGCAAGAAACTATCTGTCTAGAGGACAGTAATGTTTTCAAATGTCATGTGCCTTCTCTTTCTATCGGAATATTTTTGTGTGGAAATAAAAAAAATCCCGCATAACGCACCTGTATGTTCTTCCTTAATTTTTCTGTTAATTGTCAACAATTATCGGCTTCTCTTATAGCAGTGTTGTTACGATGTACTGGATAGTCTAATATCTATACGATTATCCGTTTTACCCAAATTTGTGGATATAATATTGGGGTATTCTGAGGAAGTGTTGACAAAATATTGACAGTACAACTCTACATGGTATCCTTTTAAACTGTTGCGGAAAGCTCGGAAGGCTAGTACGAATTGTATTTTATTTGTAGCAATTCGTAAATATAAAGTTGATACTGGATTGGACGTAAATTAACGCATTTTTGTATTATTTGTAGTATGAAGTATACTACAAGCGATTATAAAAATGATGATGAAAATTTTGTTCCTTAATATACTAAAATAGATTTAGATTCTGATTATTTTTTTATGTTAAATCATGATTTAAGGAAATGATGAATGAATATTTTTCGAAAGGAGAGTTTGCTTATAGTCAACCTAACTGGCTAGAAGCCAGTTGGGTTGACTATAAGTTTCCCGTCTTAAAGAACATTTTTCTTCATTATTATGTTAATATAACATTTATGTATTTAATGTATACGTGAAAAGTATATAAAAGTCTTATTTCTACAAGCTGTAAAAATCAAGATTTTTTATTAAAGCAGCTTTGTGTTTTCATAATAAATCAAATCATATTGTAAAAATAATTGTAGTTTATATACAATTGTTATAAATTATTTTCGTCTTTTTGCTTATGAATTTTTTTATTATGAATATACATCACAATTATCTCTATTTTGTATGATTTTTATGCAGTAATAGAATAAATATGAAAATCAATTTATTCCATAAAGAAACATAATTATTTAAAATAATACCTAATATTTATTTTTCAGCGCTGTAATTATAATACAATTCAAAGAAATATACAATTCTTTTGTAAATCGTGATATCTTGAATATAAATTAGCGATATTCTCACTATGTTATAAATATGCCTAAATTTTCACCAGCAAATAATTAACCAACATAGGAAATTAACAATCAACACAACTAGCAGATTCTAATTAAAGAAATTTATTGCGAAAAATAGTGAAGTAATTATAACACAATTCAGAGAGATATAATTTTGTTGTTGTAAATCGTTAATCTTAATTTTGAAATTTTTTTACACAAGTATGCTAAAAGGCAGCAGTTGTGAGAAGAAAGATTAGAAATTAGAGAATTAGGAGAAATACAGAAATTCAGTATAAAATTTGAGCATTGTAGGAAATTAATAATCGACACAACTGGCGAATTCTAATTGAAGAAATTTATTGCGAAAAATATTACCTCAGTCAGGGTTTGAACCTGGACCTCCCCTACACTCTAGGTGGACGTCTTGCGTGGGCGTCTCTTTCGACCCCTGAGGCATGTTAAGACGTCCACCTAGAGTGTAGGGGAGGTCCAGGTTCAAACTCTGACTGAGGTAATATTTTTCGCAATAAATTTCTTCAATTAGAATTCGCCAGTTGTGTCGATTAATTATTTACTGGTGAAAACTTACGTATATTTATAACATGGTGAGAACGTTGCTAATTTGTATTCGAGATATCAAAGTTATTTGTCCACATATTAATTTGTATACATTCCCTGCTCTTTTTTCTATTGAATGTATTATATTTGCATTATATGCAATATAAAAAGTAATCTTGAATATATCTTATTCTATATAATAAAAATAACGTCTAACACAGAGAAACACTTGCTCATTCTATCTAGGAGATAGATATTTTTCAAAAATATGTATCAAAAGTGTTGTTAAGAGAAAGATGATAAGGAATTTATTAAAAAGTATAAAAATTCTCAATAAATATTGATAGTTCATAGTATATAATTAAAACTTCTTATATTCTGATTTATATTCATGTTACACCCACATTCTATTTCTCATGGATTGCATATCACTTATAAACTAAACACAATTATTATTATCTGATTTATTTCTTCATTATTTTTGTATTGTTTATATATGTATAACTAAAATATGTGGGACGATATAAGAAATTCTTTGAAGAATGTATTAGTTTAATTCTTTCATATCGCTTTGTTTTTTTACAGGATATATGTGCAAACTTGAAGACGAGTTCGGCATGTGTTACCATTAATTTCTATTCTATTATGAAAATTATTTACTGACATTAAAGAACTGCTATTTTATTTACAGCTATTAAAAATGAGAAACTATTATTTTTTCAGATACATGTAGATACCGTTAAAACAATCAACGAATTACTACAACTTTGCGACTACCGGCATATTTTTACATAATCTTTAGCTATGTTCATTTACAGAAAGAAAGAAATAAGATTGCAATTTGAAAATATATTTAATAATTATATACACGCATTTCCTGATGTCTAGGCATAATTTTTGGAAGTAAATTCAACAAATGTGACACAACTAATGTATACAATAATTTCTGAAATGATCGAGGCACAAGAATTTTACTTAATGATAAGAATAATCGAAATTCTAATTCGGAAAAGGGATAGGCAGAACGTATGTCTGTGTCGGTTTCTTATTTTATCATCTTCGCGCAAAAATCTCTTTCTCAAAAGTCTTTTTGCGGAGTTATGCCTATGTTAGGAGAAATGCTGTCTATAAATTTCTTATAAAACGTATCTCATCGCTGCTTTACAGAATCGCCACTTTATGCAGGACGGTTTGGCAGGAACTCCAGCTATTCTAGAAAGAAGGAAGGGAGGAAGACCTTTAAATCATCTGGAGGATTTATCATTCGACTTTCTACTACGATTTCCATACTAACGTTTTTCAATTGCTTTCAATTTCAGATACCGGGACAGCCAAGTCGGGGCTAAATTTTACAAAATGTTTGCTAAAATTTTATTTAACAAAAAAGTTGCAGATTCGATAATTTGGTTGTTTTTTATCATTTATAATTCACGAGATCAAATAGTCGTTTTCGTTTTCAGCGATGGTGCTGCAAGAAAGCGACATGTTCATGGATGCTCTCACTGCGTCTACGAAAAGTAAGGAACCGAGGAAGCGTAAACGAAGGGCTTCTATCACGAAGGATGGATCCACTGAAGCCAAGAAACAAGAAACTGCTAATGCTGATAATCGCGAGAGCACGCCACCACCTGCCTCGCCCACTATCGTCGAAGAGAAATCGGTCGTCCTCAAACCTAATTTCAAGGTAAATTTACTGGATATTGGGATTAAATATAACGCTATTAATGATACAAATTAAATGCGAAATGTTTTTCACAGTTCTATCAAGACACGTTGGAAATAGAAGAAGACAAAGATCAAAGGGAAAAGGAAAGCGAAGAAGAATCAAAAAAAGATAAAGATCAGGCGCTTGATGAGGAAAAAGACAGTAGAGACGATGATGATAGTGGAAGTAACAGTAAGTATTTTATTATCGTAATAAATTCATTAAATAATAGAGAGATGAATTTTGCTTTATAAAAACCACCCCTCCATTAAAAAATGACATTGCATATGGACATAAAATTACTTTCGTTCATTTATTTCGTTTACGTAAAACGTTAACATTTTTTAAAACTACTATATTATTATTATTAGTACAGTTTTATTATCACAAATGTCGTATTGTTGCGTTAAAATAAAATTAATTTTATCTACAATAAATAATATATATTTGTCTCGTAGCACCAACGCCCGAGGAAGACGTGGAAGAAATAAAAGATGTAGAGTCACCAGAAGATGTATCGTCGGTAATTTCGGACTCGATGAAGAAGGACAGCTACCCCGAAATACGATACGTAGACGGACTTAAAAGCATTCTGCTGCTTCAGAAACGTAAAGGGCCGAAGAAGGTTTTGAAGTGGGAAACGAATCTAGAATCTATACGCTACTTCGAATTGGACGAGACGGAAAGAGTTAACGTGACGAAGACATTTACCGACATGAAGCAGATGGAGAAGCAAAACGAGAGGGAAGCATTCCAGATGGCCAGGAAATTAAGTACGTACATACATGCGAAATAATTCTGTGTAATTCTTTCAGCTACACACACTCTCTCAACATCATTCAGTATCGATTTATATAAAGTACAGTGATACACTTGCAAATTATTTATAGTTTAGTAGTTTTGTATACTATTCAATTACTTACATTACATTGCGCGACATTTAGATAGAGTATAAAACGGTTTTTTTTGTTATTAGATACTGAAGATTTAATGGAAGAAAAAACGAGATGGAAACCTTTAATTCCAATTGATCTACCGCCTCCGTTAGTGGACCCTGGCAAGGATAGCAAAGAGAAGGATGTTCAGTACGCTCGTGAGAAAGGCATTCTTCAAGCGCTTTACTTTAATCGAAGCATGTACGTAAAAATTTTACGATGCGAGATATATTTTTATTTTACAAAATATCATACACAAAAGTGAAGTAATGAGTTCTATATAGACGAGAGAGAAAGATATTGAGCTACAACTTCTCTATACTGTTTACGTTTTTATAGAAAATCCCGTTGCATCTTGTGTCGAGTGCACCATTATATTCAAATCTGTCAGCTGGGAGCTTTTAATTCTGATCATTTTTGTATCTTAGGATTCCGGACTCTGCGGCCGAGCCAGATGAAGAGCGGCACCATGTGATGGCCGACCCGAAAGGAATACCGTTAGACGATCTCACGGGCAACAGGGAGAGCGAGAAAGATTTTACAGCGGTACCGTGGCCGGAACCTAAGCCACAGCCTCCGCAACCGTCGACCGTAACGACGTTCCATTATCCGACGACGTACCCGCACAATCAGCAAAGTATGATGACGACTATGGGACCTCAGTCGACAATGAATCCCATGCCGCAGATTCCCCAACAGATGATGGCTCCCACGCATATGGCTCCCATGTCTCCGGAGATGGCGGGGCCGATGCCAGCCACCGGTGGTGGCGGTTGGAGGACGGGCGACGGCAAAGTCCTCGTGCCGGACGTTGGTATGAACCCGATGGCGAATATGCCGGGTGGTTTTAATCAGGGTATGGAGGGCGGGCCCATGGTACCACCGGGAATGATGGGGCCGGGGCCGCCACCCATGTACAATCAAGACGGCTACGGCATGATGTGCCCGGAAGACATGGGATACAATAACTTCCAAGGTCCGCCCGGGCCGATGTACGGTCCTGGTCCTGGACCTAACTTCCCGGGTCCGAGAGGCGCCCACATGCACAACAGAGGCAGAGGTGGCCCCGGTTGGGGATACCGTGGACCTGTTAGAGGGGGTTGGAGAGGTGTCGGTGGTGGGTGGCGAGGAAGCGGGAAACAGCCGCCGGTGTGTAGACAATTTTCGAAAAATGGTTACTGTCGAGTCGGAGACAAATGTCAGTATCTTCATCCTGGTGTAAACTGTCCGCCGTTTTAAGAATACGACTGAGGCAGTGATCGATTGAGTTGGATACTAGTGACGTGCACCGAATTGCAATTGATATTGCTGCAAGAATTGCTTTGATTTGAGATATTTAACTCCGAGAATGACGAGAAAGAGGAAGTGGTCAGCATTACTTGACAGCATTTTAACGAGGTGTGCGATGATTTCGCCCGAGTGGATCGTTGTCTTGATAATATTTCACTACGAATTCGGGTGTGCGCACGAAGACAACACGCGAAGTCGGTCTTTATTGATGTGCAATTTTTTTACAAATTATTTCTATTTAATAATACTCCATACGCGTACAAAAGTTATGTATTGACACGTCGATGAATGCCATATTTATATATTTATATATGGTTGTCACAGCATTCGATATGTTGATTACAAGCGCATTGTGAAATTGTGACAATACCATGTTCATATCGGCTGCTGGACAGCAGAGCATTTTATCAGATTGCTCAAGAATCTAGATTTGCTAACGAAATCTCTTTTCAGTTTTTAAATTATAATATACCTCTAGACTCGCGGATATTTGATCCCCCCCCCCACTTTTTCATTATCTTTTATGCGTTTATATACTTCCTATGCGTTGTCGAAACGTTACGTTCTATATATATTTTTTTCAAGAATGCGATTTAAAACATCGCAAAGAAAGTTAAATTGTATCCACGTGACAGCAAGGTGTTACGTATGCTCACACATACCCACCCATATGAAATGTTGTTGAGAATTATGCTGTATATGCCGCTGCTTCGTGCTCGAAACACTAGAATTCGAGGATTGAGATATAACGATACGTGCATTCAAGCGATTCCTGATGGAACAGGAGTCTCTATGTAAGAAGCTCTCATATTTTGAAGCGTGGTGCTACGTGCCGCTAGAAGCATCTCATAAGATGAAGCTGAGGATTCATACATGAATGATTAGTATAGATTTTTATGTATAGATTCTTTGTAAATAAGTTTGCATAATGTACACAGAGTGAATCGGATTGCGGTTGCGCCAACCTTTTGCCATAGAAGATGGACTGCCGATCGCAACTGTAGCCAATCCTGGAAAAAAAATGGAAAGCATCCCGTTAGATATATGTCTCAATCATATAATATCTAATTCTATCTCGAGAAATATAATTAGATATTATATGGTTGAGACATACAACGAGATTTTTCCATTTTTTCCCCAGGATTTGCTACAGTTGCAATCGGTAATCCATCTCCTATGGTAAAAGATTGGCCCCAACCACTCTGATTCACCCTGTACATATAAACAGATAAGTCTTTATATAAGGATTAATGTAGACTGGTAGGTTTAGTGTAACGGTCAAAAGAGCAGATAATATTTAACAGGAATATGTACATGTCCTTTAAAATAGAATGAGATATAATCGGCCCGATATTATTTCAGCTGATTTCCCACGAGTTTTATGTACAAAATCATACAACTATTCTTTGCAATTTCAACTCTCATGGTAACCGTATCGCCAACTCTTTACCACGTAAGATGATTGATTACACCTTTTTGTATATGGTTGATCGTTATGTTTGTATATAACATGTTGTAAAAGATCACTTGATGAAAATACAAACATCACAATTATTTTTTAAATTTTCGCCCAGTAATTTCACGCGCTACAACATATCCTTTGTCACGTACAGCACATTGATCGCTGTAAAATCACGAGACACGGGTAGTGTCTCGCGCCAAATATAAGCGTAGCTAGAACTGCGCGCGCGAGACCGACCGTGTAGTTTACGCAAGTATGCGTGTTGACAGGCCCTCAGACTTTTGGATCTCAACAACGGCTGATCCAACGAACTTCTAATAAGTAACACTACCCAAGTGTTACACGCCGATTTTTTGAAAACTTCGCACACTTGTACAACTTCGAAAAATATTTGATCCCTATTTTTTTATTTGTGCTCATAAAGCATTTTAAAGATAGGAATTACCCTCGAATTAACATGGATGTAAAAATTATATATATATATATATATATATATATGTGTATAATTTTAATTATATGTAGTTTTTAAAAAACGACCTACACTGGCCAATGTTTTTATTTAAAAAACAAACGACGTTTCCGTCCCGGATTTGGACCCTTTTCAAGTTATCTGAAAACGTACGTAACTTAACACTAAATTTTCTTTTAATGTAGCGCAAATAATTATAGCGAAAGTAAATTGCAAATCTATACCTTTTCACACATGGAATTGAAAAGGTCAATATTTCGAGGGTAGCTCCTATCAGAATGCTTTATGAGCACAAAGAAAAAAATAGGGGACAAATATTTTTCGAAGTTGTACAAGTGCGCAGTTTAAAAAAAAATCGGCGTGTAACACTTGAATAGTCTTACTTAAGTGCGCTCAATCGATAGCTTGGGTTCGATTTGCATAGTAAAATATCCGGAGATGTTTGCCAAGGTTTCGTGTTGCGTCAGGTTCTCTCATTAAACTCTCGCCATTTAACAAACAGACATTGTAACATATATTTCAATAAGCGTCAAGATAATTACACTATTTTGTATTCAAAGAGACTGTGAGAAAAATCCGAGGACAGTATTTAAATACGACGCAAGATGTACAAAATGAGGTGTGTGCAGATTAGAAAGATCAATCGGGCGGAAGTAAGTTTCCCGAATTACACGGCGAGGTGTACAAGAATGATCTCCGCAAGAACACACCAGTAACAAATTCACTAGTTATACGTGGCTCATTTAAATTGCTGAGGCGGAGGCCCGAAGATGCTACCGCTCTGCTTGCTCGCGGTTCTGGATGGCGCGAAGCCGAGCATCTTTTGGATGTTCTGGAAACGAAACACGGCAACTCGATCACCCGTCCAGCGCGAGATTGATAGCGAATTTGGTTGCTTGCAACTGGTGCGCACTGAGTGCACGCCAACAGCGAATCTGGTTGCTCGCACTAGTGCGCATTGAGTCTACCCTAAGCCTTGTTTATGGTCAATTTTTTATATCCAATTTCGACTGAATACACATTTAATATTTGGCCAAAAAAATGATCCCTGTGGATTCTATACAGATCGTTTTACTGGCTAAGAAATGTTTCACGAGACATTTAAAACGGTCTTTAAATACAACAGTTGACTGTAAACAAGTCTTGGGCCCGGTTTCACCGAACGTCGCTTGACTTTAATCTTGGTTTAATTTACGTTCGTCTCTTTCTAAAGTAACAGTTGGTAAGTGAGTCGCAGAACGAATTGAGCTAAGCTCAAAGTTAAACAACGTCGGTGAAACCTCAGGCATGCACTCCGAGTCCTCTTTTGTTCGATAAAAGCGCCTCTAGAAGCGGCTTGTAGCCAAGCAGCAGGCCCGTCAGCCTCTTAGAGGCGTTTTTATTGATAAAAGAGGGTTCAGAATGCGGGCCTTGGTGCGCACTCAGCGGGCACCAGTGCGGGCAACCTCGCTACGAGACAAGCGAGGCCCCGCTTACCTGTCTGATACTCATGGTGCACAATATGTACAAAAATATGAACGAGCACTCCGTGTAATCGTCGCCGGGGAGATTTCTGTGCGACAGACCCTGTATCCAGCTGATCGGGACGAACGGCAGCCTGGCGACCACCCGTCCGTCGAATATGTTGTTGAACATGCTCAGCAGCGCCGTGAACGCGAACCCGATCGCGAACATCGACTTCATCTTCACGAGGGACAGGTCTCGATTGTTGTTCTTCAGCCTCTCCTCCTCCCGCTCGATCTTCTTCTTCTGCTGCCTGTCCAAGGAGTCGCCGTGCGCCTCCTTCCTCTTCTCCACTGAAAGAAAGGTAGAGCGCTTAGCCCTCGGTTCTCGCGCCCCACGCCACGCGGACAAAAACTCACGCTTCTTGCTCTGCTTCTCGACCTCGGCCTTCAGCTTTTGATACTTCTCGGTGCGGTACACCATCAGCCACGTTAATCCTAAACATCACGCGTTTAAGGTAAAATTGACGTGAAACACAAATACCGTCTCTTGCGTCTCTTCCTACGAGTTCGTTAATAAATCAAAGCGCTCTCGCTACCTTCGCCCAGCAACGCCGTGCATATGCTGATAAATAAAATCAGGATAGTGTCCGCCCACATGTTTGCAACGTCGAGTTCACGCGTATATCCACGACTCACGCAGCTCGACTCCTCATAATAAGGTGATTGCGGTCCAGAGGCGAGGAAATGCCCCCTGAACGAGTACTCTCGCTACGGCGAGAGTGAACACGAGGGTGAGCTTATTGTAGCTACCGCGATGAAGGTATACTCCAAGTCAGCAGCAGGTAGGTGAGAAACGTGGTCTCCTCGATGCGTTCCGAAAAGCATCGCTGTCGAGCGCTTAACGAGCTCATTGGCCGGCTCCTGCCTGTTCTTGTCGCTCATCGGAATACAACTTTCTAATGTGTAATTCAATTGCCTTTTTAAACTAGTTTCTGAAATACAGTATATATATATTAAAACATGGCGCAAGAACTGAATAAATAAACACATAAAGAAGCTATTTAGGACCTGGCTCGTCCTGTGGTTGCACTTTCTGCACCCGCTTCCTTATTCATTTTCCTACGTATAAAATTTGAACTCTTACGTGTTCTTTGTCTCTGAAAATAATCTAAAGAAAATATTAAATTGCGTGCTTTTATTCAGAATATACGAATTAATGTACCATACCATTTATTTACAGCATATTTAATTTATTAAGTCACGCCTATTTCAACATCTTTCAGGCCCGATTTCACCAACGTCGCTTAATTAACTTTAGCTCAACTCGTTCTTCGCCTCTTTCCGTTACTCCAGAAAGAGACAAGCGTGAAATAAACTGAGATTAAAGTTAAGCGACGTTCGGCGAAACCGGGCCTTAGCTCGCTAACTTAAGAATGCTACGTGTAGAAAATGTCTTTTTTTATTGTACAGTGAAATAAAATATGTTGCACAATTGGAGTGTCTTTCATTTTGTGCGATCCCGTACAAGAGAACGTTAGATTTTTATTATAAAGAGTACGTTTGCGTAACTTCACGATTTCTCCTGATTTTAATGCGACGAAACAAATTTACAATTGACTCTGCCGAGAACTTTCCAACGTCAAATTCAGTGTCTGTTATTGAAGCATCGATGCTTAATAATTTAAATACATCACATATTACGTTACCAATAAAAAAATATAAATATATATAAACAAGTGTTTTATCTCTAATCTTGTTCACGGCCGCAATGCCAATGCGGTGCGATGAATGTGACATACGTCTACAATTCTAAGACAGTCTAAGGGCCTGAGCAGAAAAGTTGTCGCAAGTGTTTACGATTCCGTGATAAAACGCAAGTCGATGCACAGAGAATCGTAGACGTGTGTCGCCTCGCGATGCGACGAATGTGACATACGTCTGGAATGCTCTGTGCATCGACTCCCGACATTGACTTGCGTTTTGTTACCGAGTCGTAAACACTTACAATTTTTCTGCCGAGGCCCTTGAGCGTTTACGGATCGTTCTCAGCCATCAGCCTAACAACACTGCGCCATGTCTCGAGTCTTCAACTGTGCATACAAAGACAATGTATGTGTAATATACAAAAGTACAAAAACAATTTTGCTATACTATGGCCCGGTTTCACCAACGCGAGTTAATCTAATCGGTCGGTTAACTTAACAGGGTGCCAACATAAAACTTCTTTATTAACCAAGAAAATAGGTTAATAAAGAAGTTTTATGTTGGCACCCTGTTAAGTTAACGGACCGATTAGATTAACTCGCGTTGGTGAAACCGGGCCTATTAACAGGTAAGTATTTTATAAACGCTGCCTTAAAATTACAAGTCCGCTATTCGTCTAATTCTGTCCTTGTTGTCCTATTACTTTGCATATCATCTATTAATGAAATAAGATGTACGGACGATAATCAAGTTGAACAAAATGTCCACGCGTTATTCGAGTCCTCGAGTGGCTCGTGTCGCAGTACATTAATACATCCTCTGCCGATGGTGCATGAAGTGTCTGCCGGCGTGCCGTTCCAGCTTCTCGCCTCTCTCGTTGTTACGACGGTCCCAATGGTGATTGCGCCTGTCGCGGTTTTGACTCTGGTTCTGGCGCGACCAGTCGTGCCTGCGCGGCTTGTTGTACCAGGGATCGACGATCGGCGGCCTCTTCGCCTCCTGCGTCTTCATCTTGATGAAATCGCTGTCGTTCTCCGTGTAACGGTCCTTGAACTCCTCCTCGCATTCCTCTAAAAACTTGGTTTGCTCGCTCGTCATCGAAGTGCTGTCCGTCATGGTTAACGAGCTGCGCTTTCGCAAATGAAATAATTAATGAAAATAATGAGGATACTGGAAATAGACGTTTACGGGACAGCGACAACAAAGAGGGACTTACAGATGGAAATATTTCACGCTCTCGCTCGATTCGGCCTCCTATTATTCGCCGCAAATCGCTGTAATGCTTTTCGCTTGGGCTGCAAGCGGAGGTTATGCTCTTTAGAGAGGATCATCC